ACAGACCACTTCGAATTATTTTATTCGATTAAGCTAACGTGCCTATCACGTTGAGGTTGGCTACACCAGGATTCGTTTTCAGCAAGCAGATATCCACACAAGTGGACCTTGTTGAGAAATACGTAATCCTAAAATGTAGCATCGTGCTACAGATGGCGTTCACTGTGCCGTTTGTAGTATTTTCTGAAACGCACTATTTATTTATTGTTTTATCGAGATGTGTAGTGATTGTGTTTTCAATTTTAATGTATTGGTTGCACAAACTGCAGAACCAAACACAGCTTCACTAGGAAAACCAACGTTGAAGAAGTCTCGTATTGGGAGGCAAAACGTTTGTATAAGAAAATTTGACTTTGATTCATTTTTTTGAATTGGAATAATAAGGGAAAGAATTTTATGCTATACTATCAATTAATTGTTATTCACAATTGGTAGCGGGTAGGTGCTCCCTACGATCCCGGTAGACGGCAGCCCTACTTCAGGCATAGCGACCCTGCCAACGCAAGCTCCTGGTTTACTCTCAAATCCCAGAACTGAGAGTAGTCAGGTCCCCATCCACAGTTTCCCTATCTATCCATTGGTTTCCTACCCACTTACCTCCCACCCTATGATCCAAGAAATCATCTTCATTCCTATACTCTAATAAAAATTGTAAACTTTTTGGGACAATCGACTTAACTAATGCTGTTCAATTACTTTTAAATTTTACACGAAAACAAAACAAGTTTGCAATTTACTTAATCAACGGTTAAGTATCACAAGCAAGTCATTTATTCGGTTTTGAAATATTGAAACTTTCAAAAATCATTAATAGGCATTTTAAGGTTTCTAATTCTTTTTTAATGTCAACCATTTTCTAAATTCATTGTAAGTTAATATCACAACAGAATTCAACAAAGATAAAATAAACCAGACAATTTTTTTCTCAATTTTTTATTGCGTTTAATAAGCAATTTTTACATTTTATATACATTTTTTGGAAATAGATATTTTTTCTGGTAATTACCCAAAATTTAAAAAAGTACAAATCCCATACCTAACAGACAATTCCAAATCCTCCCGCCTATTATCTAAATACACTGAAAATCAATAATAACTGATAACAATTTAACAAAAATATAAAATTCAGTATCTATTTATCATACATGTCAGTAATTTTATCGTTAAATTGAATATTAAGGCAATCGGTTCTTTAACAAATTCCAAGCTTTATCTACTTGTGACCGTGTGAAGTCTTCTGGCCACAAGGTACAGAAAACTACGTTTGCAGCCTCGACATAATTTTTATTTGGTGGTTGAGCGTCAATTCGTTGCTTGGCTTGCTCTGGCGTTAAATTATTTCGTTCAGAAATTCTTTTTACTGCCTCCTCTGGAGGAACAATTGATGCCCAAATCTGATATTCAGAAAAAAAAAATTTTTTGAACGATAATTTTTCAAAATTGCCCCAATTCTGGA